ATCCAATTAGTAAAAACCATTTAAAGAAGTATACCAAACAAGGTCGATATAGGACAATATGCGAAAACAACTTAGCTGGAAAAGCAAGACCTTTCTCGAGATTATTAGTGCTGTCGCATTTCAACATTAACTGCTTACAGGTCATTTTCCAGAAAAACAAACTCAAGGGTTTTCTTCAGAAACAATTTAAATCTTTACACTGGCTATTTGGTTAACTTTTACCATTGGTTCTGATTTTAAACTTGTATGTCAGCATTGTCAACAATGAAATTATATACCCGAAGTTTCATTACAATATAACTACTTATTAGTAAATGAATCGAAGACATCAACAGTTCAATATGTATTTATTTTACTTATATAATATACAAAGTAATGAACTGTTCTAAATAGTGTTTATGATTGGTAATAAAACATGGTGTTTTCATGGATCACAAGGAAATATATTTTTGTCTTTTTACAAGATTTCAATAATCGTTTGTGAATATACGATAAATGTGTAAATGTTATATATGTCCATAACAATGACTAGTTCAATGTGGACATTTTGACAGGACAACAAATTCCTACCAGAATTACTCTCAATTACTTCATACGATGTTTCGATGTGACTTCGTAGTCGTTGTTATACATAGTGTTGAATTTGTATTTACAATAGTGTCAGCTATATATTAAAAAAAGTTTTAAAAAAGTTCAGGAATAAAAATAAAAAGTTATACAAAATTAAGAATTAAAATAAATTACCTTCAAATTTATTGGCAATAACCTGTCAAATTTGTCCTCGTTACAATCGAGTTCCAGTGACTTCTGACCACTTGCAGTATCCAATTCCCAAATCAAGGAAATTGGTAAAGTCAAGTCATCAATAGCTATCGTTTTCTCTTCTCAGCCAATAAACGACTAGATTCATATCACGTGTAGTTAGAGGCGCGTGTTTATCAGAAAGTCTTTGAAGTCAATTCTATGAAAAATACTGGATTCCAATATTATTTATTACATGATTGAACCCCGGGCTACTCTCAATTACTGTTTGTGTTAAGTTTGTATTAAGTGGTAAACGTCTCGAGATAAATGCTGTCATAATCTATATAATAAGGTCGATCTAGTCAATATTAGGTCTTCTATTGTTTGTCGAGATTTGTGTTTCCTGTTATCTAAATAAACCAGGTGCACACTCTAGAGAGTGATTCCACGACTTATTTACAGAGAGTAGATAGCAGGTGTGCTAGAATCAAAATGAGACAATTGCAGTTTAATTATACCTATTTAAGTGGGGTCGGTATGGCTCAGTGGGTAAGACGTTTGGTCGTAGAGGCTGACGTATTAATCTACGAGGCAAACCCGTGCAGCAGACTGTTTGAAAAATGTAGGCTTATGCAGCCGTCTGACAAAACTTCGCTCATAGCATACTGTATGGCGTTATTTGTTTTCATTAGAAAAGGGGCAAACGACACTATATTTCAGTCCAGTTCTATATCTCGACTTCGCATCATTGATTAAATTTATTAAATATTTTGTTGTTTGTAATATATTCTGAAATGTGCTCTCTGAAGACTATTTACATATATTCCAGACCGAAATCAACTCCCAAAAATGACCTTAAAGTAATATGATCTATGTGAACTCTCCGAATCAGAGAAAATCTGAATCAACATGTACTGCTTAAACAATAAAAACGTGACACATTAAATAATATCAATGAATGTTTGACTTTGAATTAAAATAAAAAGGTTAACATCTTACTAATATAGAGAATTCTTTTGTTTGAAAATCTTTAAAATACACTGTATATTGGAATATCATAGCTCAAATAACAAAAGAGATTATATCCTTTATCTCTACTATTGATATTGACTTAATTTGATATTTTTTATACACAGCTATGACAAATAGCACTAGCACCATATTTGTAGCCCGATAAATCTGACCCTATCCGTTCCTCGGGCGTTATTTGTGGATGGGACATCGCCTCGTCTAGGGCATGACTGAAAAGGCCACAGTTACGGTACCCGGTACCACATTATACTTGAAGGTCAGCTTTTACCTCAATAAGTAAAGCACAGGGATATTGAAGAATTCGTCTTTTGTATTGATACTAAACGTTTTGCTTTTGTCATTCGACTTTTTGAGTCTGGCTCTAACAGTGACGATATCACATCCGTACATCGTTTCCACGAGACTGGTGGGCCACCAGATTTGTCGGGCTACATATTTGTTGAAAAGTGGTTAAAGTTTTGATTTTCTGAGTCAGTAGCCATATTCTAGAGTTTCGCAGCAAAGGCTGTTGCAGATATGGGAAATGTTGATTTTCCGGTAGGTTTGTCGAATTTCGAAGTGTTCAGCTAGATGAGCGTAAATATAGGCTACATCTATCTAAAATAGGTATACGACAACCTGAAGTTGATGTCTATTCACATCGCAATTTAAAATAGTACAATGACAGAATGTCGAAGTTTGATTGAAATCTATTCACATCAATTCCAATTCGCATTGTGGCTTTGTCTCACGAGCAACGTGTGTACTGTCCTCAAGATATTGCAGACAATTGGAATGATCTTTTGTTAACGGAGGCGATTCAAACGAGATCAAACAATAGTGATGAAATGACAAAAGCCGGAAATCTAATTTCCTTGGCAGAAAGCGCTTGAATGTTCAAATATTCTATATACAGCAACCTGTCATGTTCAATACTATTAATTGCTGCTTTCTAAGAAAAACTGAAAGGAATTTCAAAGTGTGTTGACATACATTTCAGAATACTTGGTTAATACTTATATGTACTGGTATGTAGTCCGAGTTTTCATTTTCTTGAAAATATCGTTTTAGAACGCCAGACGTGGATATGTCAGATATATCATATACCTGAGTTAAATTACCAGATATTTAAAACTATTAGAGAAGCGACTACATCCCCAGGCACGGGTGTCATATAAGTTGAGCTTTATCCACCCACAATCAGTGTTACTGATCATTGTCAAGCATTTGACAGGTCTCTGATCCCCTGTCAAGAGTTTTGGCACTACTCTTGCAGATGGGTTGGTTTTTACAAAAAAAAAAACCAATGATTTTAAGATGCCGCCAGTTGCTTACAGTCTCTGAAGTCAAGCTGTTCTCAGATTCTGTCAGACCTGAACACCCTTATGAATGGACTGCAGATTATCTTTTTTATTATTGATTATCAATTTATTCTTTCATTGTATATCTTGTCATAAGACAGCAGCAATACCCGTAAATCAATGGAAACAATTATAGGATTCTAATTTTCTTATTACTGTCCTGAAATACGAAACGGAATGTTATATTGTTTTCTTGACGTATAATGAAGTAGGTATTTGTCTTGGTCAAGTTTCTAAAGAGATGTGTTTGACCAGTGGTCAGTAATGGACGTTTATGGAAATCTGACCAGTAATTGATTCAACATCTATTAAGTAGACAATAAAATGTAGCTAATATTGTCTTTATGTGAGTGACCTTTCTTAGAATCGACCAAATTAAGCTACTGGTAAACTTGGTTAGTTCAGTGTACCAACTAAACACAAGATTTGAAGGGATCCAGACGTTTAGTTAAAAGGACAGATTGTTTTTTAGCCAAGTTTTCGTCTATCTGAAAGTTTTCACCAATAGTATCTTGCGTTTAAACTTTTATAAAGGCTTACGTAAACATTTAAAGTCGGTATGCTTTTGATTGGGGTTGGAAAACTAATGAACGGATTTAAGCAAAATAAACGCCAAATTGTAGAAGAATATGTCTTCAACTTATTCTAAAGGTTTAAACTACCGAGCTATTAACTCCCGACACCAAATCTAGTTTAAACTGCTTGATAAAAAATGAGCACATCCCCTTTGCTGTTCCCAATTCTACATTAATGATGGATCCCAGAACTAAATCAATGACAATTTATCTCCAGTAGGAGACTATGGCTCTTGTCAGTTCGTTGGAACCATATTTTGATTCAGTCTATTTATATGCATGTTATTCAATCGTAGATTCTTCATATATGAATGCATTACTACTCTTATTGAGCAAGGAATTGATATACTTTTGAGGTCAGTGTTTGCTTACTAACGTCGTTCACTATCTATTTTGTTAGCAAGATATGTGCGATCATTTCGTATGTCATCGGGATGAAGCATTTGTCGATATTTTGCCAGATTTTTTAACCTAGTCTTTCTCGTCAGTGATGCGGTTAGGATGAAACAATGTGGCTCAATATCAGATTGCGCGCAACAGATCTTGCAGTAAATCGGAAACATAGGGTTAATTGTCCTGGTATAATGCCTCACATTGCACACTTGCGTTGTCCGATTTCTTTAGTTCAATACTTTTTACACAATGATCAGTTAACTACCAAGGGCAAAATGGCGTTACATTCCTTTAAGATGGTGTAGAGATATTTCATTAAGATTGACGGGTCACTGGATATTGGCTTGAAGGTTTTATCAAAACATACGATTTATTAATGATGTCGTAAGATTCTCTAATTTGTGTCTGACAAGATCTACTTACTCCTCTAGGAATTATTATAGTCTTGTTCAACTCTACTCATACGACTTACAGGAATAAAGACGAGTCTGGATACTAAATCTACGTTAGTCTTCTAGAGGAGATTGGTCAAGTGTCGTAACATTTTTATGTAACAGCATTATTTCCATTCTCTGTTAATATTTTTTAGGTACGCCTGTCTACAATGCTTTTAACTAATGAAGATGTTTTTTATCAATTTATAAAATAATTTATGAGCTATTTGCGTAGTGGTTCAACTAGATGAGTCCCTTCCCCTGGAAGTTCTTTTTTAACACATGCTCTCCTGTATTTTCTGGGCGTGGGGGACCCCTTAGAGGTGGAGGCCCATGGATTTGGTTCAACCAGTCCCTGTGTTGGTTGAGCTACTGTATGTGCCCAGATCAGTGAGACCTGGCAACTTTGCAATATTTGAAACGGCTCTACACACTAAACACAAACTATAGCTAAAATTTACTATCTTTAGAGATTGAACAAGTACTCGACATTCTACATTGCATATAATGTGTACTCGACATTTTCACATTGCTTATTATGTGTACTCGACATTCGACATTGCATATTATGTGTACTCGACATTCCACATTGCATATTATGTGTACTCGACATTCTACATTACTTATTATGTGTCTCGACATTCCACATTGCATATTATGTGTACTTGACATTCCACATTACTTATTATGTGTTCTTGACATTCCACATTGCATATTATGTGTTCTCGAAATTCCACTTAGCATATAATGTGTTCTCGACATTCCACATTGCATATTATGTGTTCTCGACATTCCACATTGCATATTATGTGTTCTCGACATTCCACATTGTTTATTATGTGTTCTCGAAATTCCACTTAGCATATAATGTGGTCTCGACATTCCACATTGCATATTATGTGTACTCGACATTCCACATTGCATACTATGTGTATTTGACATTCCACATTACTTATTATGTGTTCTTGACATTCCACATTGCATATTATGTGTTTTCGACATTCCACATTGTTTATTATGTGTTCTCGACATTCCACATTGCATATTATGTGTTCTCGACATTCCACATTGCATATTATGTGTTCTCGACATTCCACATTGTTTATTATGTGTTCTCGAAATTCCACTTAGCATATAATGTGTTCTCGAAATTCCACATTACTTATTATGTCTAAAAGTGTTAAGGAGGACGTAAAAGACTATTGCATTTCCAGTGGTGATGATTATCCTTAGCCTAAAGAGGTATAAAGAAGCATGGCGTGAAAGTTCTGTTTTTAGTGTTTGGGAACAAATCTCCACTTATTAAAGACTCACTGCCCTATTAAATCATTGTAATACAAGCTAAATAATCATCTGTTGTGAAACTTGTCAGATAAGGCATGAATATAGTCGTATACCAGACAAAGTTTTCAATGTCATCAGACATAATTTAATTAGATATGTGTCTATACAAGTGAGAGAAATTGACAATTAGCTATGAAAGGAAGGCCGTCTCATAGCTTGGAGACATCATATTAAAGGTGTTATTTTCAAATAATGATATCTCGTACCCTGAAGCTCTGGGGTTAATTTTTAATCATTCACACTCGAATTAGCATCATCATAGGGGTTACGACAGACATACCAGTTCTAAATATAACCCTTGATTGTGCAACTATCAGCATATATGAACCAGTGGCGTTTCTAGAAAGCATAAAGGTAAGGGGTCGAGCAGGGTCAACAAAGTTTTTCATGGGGCCACAGGCCAGCTATGCAAAATGATAAAAAAAAACCTCAGAAAAAAAAACCACATAGAAACGTCACTGATATGAACTTGTGTGTTCTTAAATTAATAAATCCGTTATCATGAAAACAGCTCTTGTGGCAAATCACTCCAAGAATTGAAAGAAACGGGTTAAGGGGCGAAAATTAAAACAATTACCTAATACCTAAAATTTCTAAATATTACAGTTTCGGCAAAAGTTTTAATAAATTCTTAAAAATAAACGATTTAACTCGAAATAATAACCAAATCTATTTCATTTCGACTTTAATGGTCATTATCAGGCGATCTTATCCTAACCCCTAGCGCATTGAAATTAGTAAGCCTGAAGCTTCCCCCGTAGAAATATGGTACAAAAGTACAACCACTTAATTTCTAACAAAATTAAAAACATGATTTCTATACGTTTTTTCCCCAAAATATATGTCAGAATGCACGAAATCAATTCAATATTTCCAAAAGTTTCTTGGAGGAGAACTCCTAAAAGGCTTGCGCCTATGCGCTTCACAAAACGGACGCATTTTGAATCTTAACATTCTTGACATTCCACATTGCATATTATGTAAGTTGTCCGGGAAGGCTTGCAACTCCACTAAATAGAGGCGTAACACCCTTTGTTATCCCGTTAAATACTGTCAGTAATCGGGAAATTAACAGATTCCAAGTTCATAATAAACAGATTTTATAGGAGAATTTTTTTCCATGTTTAAAATCAAATGATTTATTGTCGCATATTCGAAAACCAGAACTCAAATGACAATCTTGTTAAACATTATTTATTAATCACACTTTTCCACCGGTTATATAATGCCCAAGTCTCTCTGGGAATTTATGAATCGGCGATGGTCAGCGATGTGGAAATGTGGAAAAGCTTTGCGATGCCTTGTGATTGCGACATAATTTTAGAAAAAATGGAGCAGTCCCATTAAATTTGCAACGGAGGTGATTCTGCATTAGTCTGCTTAATATTAGACGACAATACTGCGATGTTTGTCGATATTCTGCCATGGATCTGTTGACCATGAGCAAGATTGGTAGGCAATAGTCGGCGGTGATCAGCGATGGCCGGCGACTGTTGCCGATGTATCGGAAAGAATTCAACGATGTTTAGCGAAGGTTTGTAGAAACTTCTCAACTATTTAGCGATCAACCGGTAACCTTTGCAGAGGTACCATCTAACGTAGCCGAATATCCCCCGATGTGTGTGTATGAGGGGTGGGGATGTTTCAGTTGTATTAGAATATATGAACAAGCATTAGCTTTGTATAGAGAAGACATATAAGACCAGCAATAGTTAAAAGCTGTCATATTCCTGTTATTGGTGTGTTGAAATAGATAGGAGGTCATTCTCAATGGCTCGACTACCACAGGGACTGGTTGAACCGGGCCCAACGCTAAGGTTCCCGGCCCGAGATATACCTGTAGGGGGCATATTTTAAAACAAATTTTTCAGGAAACGTGTCCCAACCCACTCATCTAGTTGAGCAGCTGGTCTATTCTTTGGAGTGGTGGCAAGCATGACAAAATGTTTTGAAAACGTTTCTACATCGTCACTAATGGTTGGACAGCATTTTAAAAATGTTTCGACAACTTTTGTGTTTACTGGGTCCTAACGAATCATAGTTTTAAACTACAAAAGAATTTGCTCAACACTCGAGCTCCAATGTGAGCAATCAAGCGTTTCACAATGCAAAACCACCCAATCGACGAAGGCGCGCCATAACAGTCCCATTGGACGTCAGCGACAAAAATATCTCCATCATATCTTTAAACGCTCGGCGACGTGAAACAGATGGTACATGTTATACTTCGCCGTTAAGTCGCCGATATAACGGCGAAGGGTTATGGAATAAAAATAAAAACGGTCCGCCGAGATCCGACTTTTCCGTCGCCAATGGTTCGCAACCAGTCCAGTGGGACTGAGGCATAATGGTCAGAAAAATTCATTTTAAAAGTACAAAATTATATCATCCTGTTACCTACATCAACTCCCATGCTTCATTTGATTCCCACATTAGCTGAACCTTTCACGTCGTTTTATTACATCGAGAATTTTAAGTTTGTCCCACAAATCCACGTGACTTTAATTATAGAAAGCATGTTAAAATATACTTGGACACTATTCCTTCCTAAATAGACAGCAGTTTCCATGTAAATAAGAAAACATCAATTCGATGAACAGTAAGACGTTAAATATTATCGTATTCCCACGACAAACTTCTATAATTACACATCAATAGGACGGTGATACTGATACAAGCAAAAATGTCCCCGAGGTGTTTCTTCAACATCCAACCAAATTATTTTATTGAATTTGCTCACTCTGAAGTACACCTGAAAGCAGTATTCGACTAGGTTTGCCAACTCGACTACCTGAGAGTATACAGACTACCTGAGAGTATACAGACAAGACCAGACCAAACTAAAAGGGAAGCCAAAAAAAACATTTTGCTTTTAACTAATTAAAATATCACTATCCTGATTATGAAGTGCAGACAAGTGAATTTATTGAAGGTAATACACGTAATTCCAAATAAACCAATTTTAGCTGGTTACTGAATTTGGCACTTTACATGCGAAGAATTTTAGCCTAACACTGAATGTTATGCAGTCTGATGAAAATAATTATCACCATTCAGTGACAAACTAGCAGAAACAAATTTTTAAAAAATTAACAGCGATTGGAGATAACAATTCATATTCATTAGAATGTCAAATCGATCAGTTCTTCATTGGTTTAGAGCAACATAGAATTTGTCGTTATTCAGTATTTGGCACAGTGACTTTTGTCATCTGAACTTCATTAAGTCAACTTGTTGTATCTTTTTCAGTATTCCACGGCCAAAACTGACAATCCTTGAACTTTAAAGGCCATGTATCATCCGCCATTATCCCTGAAAAAACGCAGACGACTTCATTTAATTTAAGTATTCATTTTTCAATACCTATTTAAGCCTATTAGATGGGTATACTGATAAAAACGCGAGTTCCTTTGTATAGAAAAAAATACCATCGCCAAGTTAATACCATACATTAAAATACATTCGATTTATTCTTATTTTTGTATACTCGTTTCAGTTTTCGAGATGCTCTGTATCACAGTCCATTAGAGCGTTGGAAAATTTACATCACGTCATTTTTTTGTGTAGAACAATGGTGGTCGTGAGTTCTAATCCCAGTCGGCGTTTACATGTCTGGTGACTGAATACGTCATCTTTCCATGGGAAGTAGATGGAAGTGAAGAAGAAGTAGAAGTTACTCTCTTACATTAAGAAGTACTAATAGTACCTCCGTGCAACGCTACGAATTGCAGAACTCCGCAGACTGATTGTGGATTGCGGTGTGCCTTCTCTCTAACTATATCATGAACATTTACTTCAACTAAATTTTCATTTTTAGATATTTTCATAAGTAGCATCAGTGGTCAAATAAATTTGCATAGAATTCTTTCCCTTGAAGTAAAACGTTTATAAAACGTTACTATATTAAATGTAAAATTGCGTTAAAATTCGCAAGAATTTTAAAATGTTCAGTTGTAGACTCTTGATCGATCATGCAATGACGTCTACTCTAAAGTAAAATAATCATTAAAAAACAATATTGTAAAACATAATGGATTCAGCTATTTCTAGAGTAAACTGTTTATAGTTCCACAAGATTGATAGAGACGGCCAAAGGTCGCTTTATAGATTTACTAGATTTGGCATATCATAACAATTTGATTTGATTCGCAGATTCACGTGATATATTTTAATTTTGGCTAATCATAATAATATGTATTGGATCATTAAAAGGGTTATTTAGCGATACCGCTAAAATTGAACCATGTGTAAGGACCGATAATTATTTTTCTTTTTATTTTGAGGTTTTAATTAACTTTAGTAACATGACAACCATAACTGCATAAGTACTGAAAAAACTCCCCCATTGTATCGACACGGCAAAAAACTTTGTCCTTTACGATAAAGTCTAAAAGAAACAAGGAAGAGATTAACAGAGAAATAAATACGGATGCACTGGCCTCGTAAAGTAACTTTAAAGTCATGATTTAGCGACTTAGCTTAGTGGTTTTAAATAATGATTATGTATTTATCCCTTTTTATGAGCAAAAAATTACAATACAAATATCTTTAAAATATTTGTACCAGTGAGAACTATATGCTCATGCGTGTGTTTCGGATTAATAATGAAATTAGTTTATATTTTTGTACATTAATTTTATTTTGTTGATCTTTCGTTTATAAACATTGTCAGATTTTTATTGAAATTGGGGGCGTATATTGTCGTCACCCATGTCCGCCCGTCCCTTGTTCTTGAAAACGTGTTCAAGTTTAGTTTGTAAACACTCTAAAAGGTTCAATTATTGTCAGATTTTGACGAAACTTGGTGGAATTGTTTGTTGTTTGAATATTT